CAGGGTACCAGCCAATTAGATCCAGGATGCTGAGGAAGGGGATCCGATCCTCATGCCATAATGAGCCTGTGTCTTAAAGCCTTTGAAGGTCCTGTGATGATCAATGATGCACAGGGCTGCAAGTGATTGGTTGAGGAATGAAAGGTGGGACAGTTGTGGATATTGAGGGAGGTCCCAAGTAGAAGGAAAGAGAAGCTCAAGTTTTCCTTACACGATGAATAGAGGAGTAAAGGCAGGGGAAGGGGCAGGGCCTGGGGAATCACAGTATCAGTCTTCTTCTCTTTGATGTTCTTGCATCTGTGTAAAATCTGCTTGGCTTTCTAGGTCATTCTTATAGATGAAAGGGAGTAGCCCACGAGGGTGGGCAAGATGAGCTCTGTGCCATTGCCTTGGTTAAGGGTGAGAGTTTGACAGGAATGATGGTCAATCCCGGTTGACACAATGCATGTGAGCTTTGCGCACTTAAAGGAAATAGATTCTCCTCTATAGGGACTTCCTTTATTCCCTGACCACTTTCTGTATATGTGTCTACACTGTCAGTATCAGGGCCCATTGAAACATGGCCCCTTGGTAAAAGCATCATGTCTTTGGAACCTAGCAGTTTTTCTGTAAAGGGTGGTAGTCGGGGAATCCAGGAGGAATCCAAATGAGTTTCCAAGGTCAAATCCAGGTGAGCCAGGGAGGAAACATGTCAGAACAAGAGTGGAGTCACATCTCCAGGAAGCCAGTCTTAGTTACTCCAGTTTCCAAGGATCTCTGAGTTTTCTGAACTTGCAGTCACTTTCACATAGGAGGGTACATTAGAATCATCTGTGGAGTCACTAAAGATTCAGGGGGTCCAGGATGGGATGGGAGCAATTGCATTTTTTCAAAGGCTCTTAACGCATAATTCTGATAAATGCACTTGGTCGATAAGTTTTGTAGAGCATTTATAAGAGGTGCCGGGGAATAGAATTTGCAAAAGGGAGCCCATGACGGAAATTTAGCATTTAATGGTATGCAATCTTCAGTTTGCCACAGTCCCCCACATTCCCTGATGCCTTATACTCTGGTGGCCCATTCTTCGTTGTCTGTGACTGATGGGCCCTGGCACATCTGGGTGATGGCATTCCTTACGTGGACACACTGGGAGGCACCCCTTATTCCAGTGGTGCTGCCTTAGCTCTGAGTGCTTCTGGGATGCTTTTCAGGTTCTAACCTCAGAACAGCTTCACACCACACACAAGAAAACCAGTCTTCTCATTCTGTAGCTGTATAATAATTATTTTTTTAAATGACACCTTCAATATGCACAGAGTAGTCTGGAAAGGTGTAAAATTTTGCCTGAAATGAACATTGAACTCATAGGTTTGACATAAAGACTCAAGAATTAGCTAGCAGCATAATAGAGAAAAGGCTTTTTATCCATTCATTCTTTGGAAGGGAAGGACAGATTCTCTGAAAGTGAGTTCCAACCAACAACTTAGTGCTGTCTGAGTTGCCACAGAGGCTTGGGTATTGTCTAGCCCAGCACTGCCAAACAGAAATATAGTGTGAGTCACAAATGCACGTCTTATATATAATTTAAATTTTTCTGAGGAGAGTCCTCTCCAGAAACCAATCTTGCTGAAACTCTGGTCTTGGACTTCTATTCTTTCAAACTGTGAGAAAATAAATATCTGCTGTTTAAGCCAAAAAAAAAAAAAAAATAAATTTTTCTAGTGGCTACACTAAACATTTTTTAAAGGTAAAATTAACTTAATGATATAAGAATATTTCATTTAACTCAGTGTATTCAAAGTGTTGTCATCTCAACTTTCAATCAAAAAGTTATCAAGAAATTTTACGTGGCTTTTTTGCCCTTCATGCTTGAATCTGGTGTGTATCCTTAAAGCACATGTCTATTTAGGCTGGCTTTCCCGATGACTCAGGCAAAGAATCTGCCTGCAATGTGGGAGACCTGGGTTCATTCCCTGGGTTGGGAAGATCCCATGGGGAAGGGAATGGCAACCCATTCCACTGTTCTTGCCTGGAGAATTCCATGGACAAAGGCTATACAGTCCATGGGGTTGCAAAGAGCAGGACACAGCTGAGCGACTAACACTTTCACTATTTCAAGTGCTGTGTGGCTAGTTGCTTTCACAGATCTAGCCTCTTGATGAGAAGCCAACCTGGGGTCTCACAGTGTAGAAGGCCCTCCTTGTTAGATTGGCTTTTCCCGGGCCTGGCCCCTGTGTTCTCTTCTTGGGCTAAGATGCATTTGCTCTTGGGCCAGTAACTCGTGTCTTGGTTTTTATTGTTTCCTTGGTCTAATGGACTTAACTTCAGCCAGATTTCCTGGTATTGTGCCAGTGCTTTCCTCTGAGCTTCACTTCTTCCCCTCCAAGTCCTTGCATGCCACCGTGCTATAATTCAAAGCTACTATGGGCTAGGTTTCCATGGACCCAACCCAAACAGGAAACTGGCTTTTTCATTGTTTGTTTGGAACCATGGAGTAGAAAATGTCAAGACACTTGTTTTCAATGCTTCAGAACTGAATTTAAACTCTACATTTCCAAAGGGGCCTTCCAACATGGAATGATTTAGAGGATTCAACTGTTAGATTAAGAGGGCTGATTGGAACATGAATGTACCCTCAACTTTCCTCGCTTTGATCATTATCACTGGCTGTCTCACCCTTTGTTTAGAATCCTATTAGTCAGAGGCTATAAAACCTTGTATGAGGCTGGGGTATCTAAAGCACTCTGGAATATTTCAGTGAGTATTCAACAAAGAATCACTGTGTTAAAAGGCTTTAGTTGAGGTCTTTGTCCCAAATCTTCGTAAACCCCACAGTACACAGACTTGTCTGTCATCATGGATTCTCTCCAGTGTGCTCTGGACACATAGGCACTGTGAGCTGTATGGTGGTGCCATGTACCAACCAAGGCAGGAACGTTGGCACCTGTCCAATAGTCATTCCTCTTGCTTTTGCTGTGATATGGCGGAGCGCACCACCTCTGCAGTAATAGAGGCTGACAAGTGTCCTGCATATAGAAGAGGCAGCCAGATGGCTACTTTCCCAGACTCCTTTGTAACTGGCCATGTGACCCAGTTCTGCCAGAAGGACTCAAGTGAAAGTATTTTTGGAGAGCTCCTGGGAAAGATTTTTCTCCCTGATAAGAGAGAAACATGAAAGAATGACTCTCTTGCAGCTCTGGTTGCCTTCTTCTTCCTGATGAGGTTGTGAAGTTTGCAAATAAGACAGCTACTTTGGAACCATGAGGTAAAAAACCTGGGGAAGCAAGTGAAGCTGTCTGAGGATGCTGAGACTGATGATGGAAGGAGATCACATCTTTGATGACATCATTGAACAACTGTGGAACTTGAAACAGAACTTCCTACTTTTAGAATTGTTTTATCATATGGAACTCTGTGAAGCTACAAGCCTTCTAATGGTCTGGGGGGGGTGTCAATGCAGGTTTAAGAAGGATATTTAACTCTAAAGATTAAAGTCTTTTGGAAGAAAGGCGTTAGATAAAGGGGAGGCTGACAACATTCGCATGTATGAAACCTCATTCTGTGTTAACACTTGTGCTTAGTTGCTTAGTCGTGTCTTACTCTTTGCGACCTCAGGGACTGTAACCCACCAGGCTCCTCTGTCCATGGGGATTCTCCAGGCAAGAATACAGGAGTGGGCTGCCATTTCCTTCTCCAGGGGATGTTAATACTTCACAACCTCAAAAATACTCTTGCAAGCTTCTTTGTAAGAGGCCCCCCTTGGAAATTCCTGATCTCCTGGAACTTAACCTTCCATCTCAATGTATTCCACAGTTATCAGGGGTCTGGGTAACAAGAAGATTGGGACCTGTAACTCCTAAAGGAATATAGTATCTGGAGTCTTTAGCAAAAAAGCCTCCAAACCTTCTGTCTGTTTTCTGTGCTGAGTGCTCAGTTGCTCAGTGGTGTCTGACTCTTTGCGACCTCATGATCTGTAGCCCACCAGGCTCCTCTGTCCGTGGGGTTTTCCAGGCAATAGTACTGGAGTGGGTTGCCATTTCCTCCTCCAGGGGATCTTCCCAACCCAGGGATCGAACACTTGTCTCCTGCATCTCCTGCATTGGCAGGCAGATTCTTCATCACTCAGCCACCTGGGAAGTGATTTCTCTGTTTTCTACCTCATACCAAAGGGGGCAGATCACTCTTATAGATTTACTATCTTGAAACCACATGTGGGAGTGGTTTAGTTTTGACAGAGGGCACTCCAAGGGACCAGCCCACTGTAACCTCCTTTTGTTTCCTGTTTGGGCAATGTTTGAAACTGGTTGGACTGAATTTCCATTTTTACCATGTTTTCTTTCACACATGCTAAGCTTGGGTGAAAGGAGGCAGAGACAAATGCTGGCATTTATCCTCAGAGGACAAAACATTTTGAACAGCAGTTTATCCTGGAACACTGACCTCTGAGGCAGGTCATGGCCCATGGTCAGTCCTGATGGGTACCCAGGGCCTGTCTGGCTCCCAGGATCTTCTTCTCAAAGTGTTAAGAGCATGCCCTGAACATCTGTGACTGTTCTCAGGAATGCATTCTAATTCTTGAGTAAGAAGATCAATGGGTAGTTGAGGGGCTATCTAGGGAGAAGAGCTCATAAATCAGAAATTGAACAGTGTTTTCTCAACTATGCATCTGATGCTATTGTGAAATATAAAGAAAGGAAGAAGGATTCTAGTATTAATACATACATACCTATGCACGTGATTGTTAATATGTACAATAGCTATAAAAGACATATGACTTAAACAAAATTTACACAAAACTGAGCTGTGAGTATAATTTATTCCTATTCTTACATAGAAATTTACTATGCAGGCAATAGAAAAGAATACAAACAATCCCTAAGAAAATCAACAAAATATTTGCTAAAATTATTAGGATAATACTTAGTAACAAAAATAGCTTGAGAAAATGAATACTATTTAGACAACTTACAAAGTTTGTAACTGTTCCTATTTACAAGTCTGTGTGAGGGCATGGGAAGAAACTCAGCCTACAAGGGCTTTCATGTAAAGATGGACTTGGAGACAGTAGGAGTCTCTGGTTCACTTAGCCATGCACAGGGTCTCCAGGGCTGGTGATCTTTGGTTTGCTTGCCTTTTTGTCCATCCCTTCCGAACTCTTATTTCTCGAATTCCCTAACAAAAGAGATTTTTCAAACACTGAAAATTGAGTTTTTCCACAAAAATATACACAACTCTATGACAGTTGCAAACTCATAGTTTCCAAAGGTCACGGGGTTTTTAAATTGAAACAGTGTTTTCCTGAGAAAATGAAGAAGTGAACTTTTCCCTAAAATAATTGTAGGTTTACTTCCCTTCTGTTCCTATAGTTTGCACTGACTACTTCAAACTCAAAGAAGAAAAAACCTTTAGGATTCCAATTTCACTTTCCAATCCTCTAAAATTCCAAAGTTTCCCACTGCTGTATTCAGCATGTTCGGTTATAGAATCTTTACAGGACTGATAGCTTACACAAATGAAGCAAAACTGGAGACTTTTTTATCTGTATTTCTTTTTGGTGGTTCAAATACCATTGATTTTTGAGTGAGAATATTGTAAATGTTTATAAAATAGTGAATTTTTTTAAAAATAAGAATTAAGCAACTTCTAAGCACTCAGAAGCAATCTGACACTAACTTTCAGTCTTTGTAATACATGACATCCTTAGATGAATTGAAAATGTGGCTTTAAAGGGCCCTTGGATGTTGATGATTTGATATTTGATCCCCTGCTTTTGTGGCCTTTACAGAATCAGTTTAGGGAATAAAGTGAAAATAGCTATGCTGAATATTTTAGAGAAATTTAACTTTTCTTTAATATCTAGGAACTGATATAGCCAGGAACTTCTCTTATTTTACCTCACTGAAAACAAATCCATTCTCACAATAAAAAGATAATAAGCTACCTAAAAAAATCCTTTGCAATAACCAAGAAAAGTGACAATACAGAGTAATTTGATGGATGGGATCCCATTCTCTCTCCTGCAGCTCTGCCAGCCTGAAACAAACCCACCATCTCCTATAAGAGAATGTTACACACATATTGGACAGCGTGGAGGCTGTTCTGTTGAGAAGCTGGGGAAGGAACTCAGTGATGGGCCCTATGATGTGGACCACAGCTGTAATGAGTAACTTGCATTGATTTTAAATATGCCTGAAGGCTTATCTGAGAATCCTAGGCTGACTTTGATTTTGTGACTGTGAATTCCATTCACTTAAGTAAGAGATTGGTTTTATAGAGATTAATTTTAATTAATACTGTTAACATCATGTACAATCAAACACCAAGAATATCAATAAATATCAATAATTAGCTTTGGTCTTCCTTCCTCTTTCTGTTGGAACATTCTGACTCTATACATACAGTACAGTCTTAGCGCCAGTGCCCCACTAGGCTTTAAAATTCCACAGCCAGAGCACATCACCTTGGTGAGTCTTGTGACTTGTATAGGGCTGTTCCGGAGACTGAAAGAGATAGAAAATAAGCATGAGAACACATCACTGATGGTGTAGTATGAAATTTGTTACTAGTGAAAACAACAGTTTTGAAGCTCTGTAAGTCCACTGGGGCAGCTTGTCAGAAATGACTTGTGACCATGGCTGTGGATGGGGGTTGCGTTCACAAAGAGCCTTGAACCGTCCTTTTCCTGGATTGTAGGTAGAAGATGCGGTTTTCCTCAGGATAAGTGACTTTACTGACGGGCATCTTGTAGATGTTGGGGTTTTTTGTGGTCAGCAAGAGGAACAGTAGTGTGGCCAAACAGAAGGGCCAGGTGCAAGATGGCAATCCGACCTGGAGAGAGAGACAAGCCACACGTTCCTTTAAGATCCTGTTGGAAGGCTAACTCGCACAAAGTGCAGACTTCACACCACTGTCCTTCAACTCAGGAGACAACTCTCTGAGGCATGACTGTGGACTCTGCCTGTCCCCATGAAGACTGAGTTTAAGATCTCAGGACATTCGACCCCTGAAATGTTAGCATGCACTCCTTAGGGATGATGCATGCCCTGCCCTCCCTCTTACACAGTCAAACTTCCTACAGAGGATGTGTAAAGATGACACTTAGCTCCTAGAGATGATACTTAGCAACCACCAATAGCTCCTGACCACTCATCATGTCCATGAGGCTGTCTTTGATGAGTCCAGCCCTCTCTCCCCTTGGCCTCCGCCCAGACTAGGCCTTGGACTCTACTTGCTTTACTTCTTTTTGTTTCCTCTCTCAAACAGACTCTAAACCCCTTGAGGGTAGCTCCTCCTTCTGTGCATCCATGACAACTCAAGCAATTCTGAGCACACACCATGTACTTGGTTAGGTTTGGCCCTATGAACTCCCTCCCCACCCCACCCCGGGTGTGATGGTACCCAAACTTGACTGCATATCAGAATTATCTGGAAGAGTTTAACAAAACACAGATAACCAAGCATCATATAAGATCTCTACCAGAAATGCCAAGGTACAGGGCCCAAGGATCGGGATTTTTCAAAATTTCCCTAGCTGACTCTGTTCTGTAGCCTGCCCAATTCTGCCTCATAGGCCAAGGTCTGTGAACTTTTGTTGGGGTGTGAAGGGTCCCCCAAGCTCTAAGGCATCCCATCATGCCTGTAACAGGGCTTTGGCATTCCACCATAAAGATAACCGTGTCTCCAGAAGGACCCTCCCAGCTCAGCTCTCTGTGTTGCTGTGAAGAGGACTAGATGTGGTCCTGCCCCGCTGGCAGCCATGACCACAACTGTATGGATGGAGTTATCAGGAACTGGCCCGGCATCACCTGCAGTAGTGGGTGAGGAAGAGAACTGAGAGGTGGGGGGCCCCAGAGCAGCTGGGGGTACTGGGCTCCTCAGGGGAGGGGAAGGAGAAAGTCAAAGGGCTGGACAGTACTGAAAAGAAAGAAGTGACCAGAGGCACTTAATAGGCGATGATTTTGCCTATTAAATAATTTAGGACAGGGGTCTGAAAAAGTCTCACTGATGACTGACTGGGGATTTTTTTAAAAAAAGATTATGGGTATGAAAAACTCTTGGCTTAATTAAAAAGAAATCTGGATCTTTAGCTAATTATCCTTTTCCTTCCTTTTCTGATTTCTCAACTTCTACATAGTCCCAGTTTTCTGTTTAAGTAAAAGATATTCTAAAGTCAACTTCTTGACCCTCGGAGTTAAAGTATGGACTTGATAATATACACGCTAAGTTTCACTTCTTTAAGACAAACAATCTGATATTTTTAGCAAGCCTGGCGATTATAGTTTGGGCTAAGGTTCACTGTGATGCTGGAGGGTAAATGAGGACAGGTGGGTCCAGAAGATGGACTACAGTGACTATCTGTGATGCATCCTGCCCTGGGATGCCATTGAGGTGGACTTCAGGAGGGTTTCTGTATCATTGAAAACCGACCAATCATGCTGATAAGAAAGGGAGATTAAAGCAAACTTACCACGGCCATCAGGTGTGACATGCTGGCTCCCAGGTAGGCAGTGAACAGGGCTATGAGGAAAAAAAGGGAAAGAAAGAGTGCTTGGACTCCTTTCAATATAAATCCCTGGAATGTAAACTTGTGCATTTCACCAGTGAGCCCAGCACCCTGGTTACAAGTCTGAGCTTAGAGTCAGCAGCTCTGGGTTCACATCCAGTCTCCACCCGTTAGGAGCTTGGAACCTCCACTCAAAGCCCTCATTTCCTCACCTGTACAAGGGGGTAATGGAAATCTCGCTCTCAAGGGTTGATGTGAGTGTGAAGGAGGGTAATGCTTGGGCCTAGCACACAGTAAGTACTCAATAAAGGTAGCTTTTCTGTGGTGCTATTTATTTTTTTGCTGTTATTGCTAATATAATACTTAAGGAGAAGGCCTTCCACAGTAAATACATTTCCCCATTATTATACCCAAGCATAATTAAAGTGAAACTTACGAATGTTCCTTGAGATAACACATAATTTCACGGCATCTGGGATTCTCAGATCAATTGTTAGAAATCACAGTTTAAAAAAAACCATGGTATATGTATATAGAAGGAGATAGTAACTCAGAAATCAGCAGAAACTGAACACAGACCTAGGATTCCTCTTTGTATTAACATCTGCCCTAAAACTGTTAAGGTCGGCATACATGTCAATGAGTTAACATCCTGTGTTTTTGTTTCCTTTGAGCATGAATTTTTAAAAGTAGGTAATTTGAGTATATGTATGACCTTCAGTGTAAAATAACAGAAACAAAGATCTCAGCTAGCTAACTCTCAATTCTTGGGCCCAAGATGACTCAGGGAAGCCTGTATGTTTCCCAGACACCACCTGAAGAATGACCTTCTTATAATGGCCACATGGCCAACTGGGCCACCAATACTCACTGTTGAACACACTCACCATCTGGTCCTCATATCCGTCAAGAAACACATCTGCTATTTTGGGGAGTTGGGTGGGGTGGTGGGAGAGACTCTATGATCTTCTTTTACTTTACTATAGATTTCCATCCTTTTATTGATATTTTATCTTTCTATCCTCATATTTTTTGTTCAATATTATACCTAATTCTTTCACATATGAATTGTCTCATGCTAACAGGAAAGGCTCATCTTTGGAAATGGCCTGGGCTTCAAATCCCAGCTCTGCCATTTTGCTTGCTGTAAAACAAATCACTGAACTAGGAATCTAGTTTCATTGTCTGTAAAAAGGCAGCTGGAAGAGGTTCTTTACAGGGAGTAATGACTCTCAAATGAAATTATGTATTTTCACAAGCAGTAGCTATAAACTCATCTCTGTCATCATAGGAAGAAGGTACTGCTCTGAGCAGAAGTGTTGGAAGATTTTCTCTGCTTGGCTTGGATAATTTCATCCCCACCCTCCCCATTTAGTTCATTCATTCATTCGCTCATTCAAGAAATATTCACTAGCCACTGGCTAAGTATGGAGATACTCTGTCCCTGCTCTCCTGAACACCGGCTCTTTTATGACACTTCCCTGAACACATGAGTCTTTATTGAATTTCTCTTCTAGGAGTACAGTAGCTTAATACCTATTAGCATACTTTTGGTACTCAAGTCTCATATTGTTATGCTCTTTCAATTCCATGTTGCTTTTCTTTCTATAGTAAGAGTATCAGACTAGCTAATAGTTGTTGCCCATCATTAAGATGAGCTGAGTTGGGCTGGGAAAACCTTACAGTAGAGGTGCAGTTCTGGACATCATGGTTTGGAGGTGATGCCCCTAATAGTGTGCTGAGTAGCTGAGGGAGAGAAAATGCCCTCCAGAGTGGAAGGGAAGACCGAATCCCAGTTCTTCATAGACAACATCCCTCCCTACATACCTCCATATTAAAGTCCTACTATGATAACCCAACCTGTAAGAAGAGATCCAAAATGTGTTTGCAGTTTGCAGTGATAAAATAACAAAATTGAGGAGTTCTCTGGCTGTGCAATTTCTGGCTTAGGGGCACAGGGAAGGCAACTATACCAGGCCTCTGTCAGAGACTCCTATGTTTGCTTCCTGATAAAGCCACAGGAGTTAATAAAAGAGGAGCTCTATAATAAATGTCTTTATTTATTTATCTTGGCTGACAAGCTTGATCTTTTGTTTGGTGATGTGGGCAGGCAGAAACTTGCTGTGCATTTTAGCGTGAGATCTGCTTTACAAGAGGGACTGGAGGTCTGTCTCAAAAGTTTATGTCCAAAGATAAAAAAGACTGATGACTGTGCCCCGTGTGGCTGAAACAGCACTCCCACACACTGTCAGTGGCACGGGAAATTCATATGGCCTCTGTGGGGTGCATTTGGCATCTACTGAAAATAAGAGGAGCTAGGATTTTGGCACCAGTGTCTGGACTCTTAACTAATTATATACTGACTTAACCACTGTACTAATGAAGAAAATCCAGATCTATCCAAAGGAAGGTAGGTATAATAGGTAAAATAAAGGCCCTCAAAGATGTCTACGTCCTGATCCCCAGAACTTATGATATGTTACCTTATATGGCAAAAGGGACTTTGCGGCTATGATTAAGTTAAAGATTTTGAGATAGGGGATTATCCTTAGCCAAGTAGATACAATGTAATCATGAGGTCCTTATAAGAAGGAGGCAGGAAATTTCTATCTAGGGAGTAGGATGAAGTGTTTTCACCTTCTGCTTTATACTCTTCTGTATTGATTGAATTTTTGTTTGTTTCGTACAATAGTCCTATACAACTATAAAATTACAGAGAGAAAATAATGACAATATCTCAGCTTTGGGGAAACACATTTGTAAACATCTTTGTCTTTTCCTTTTCCATGATCGGTGAAAAGACCTTCATAAACCTGATCAGCAACTTCTGTGACCAAGACAGTTTTTACTTGATCTTTAAGGATGTGCTCAGGCTGTCCGTACCCTGGCCCAGAACATGCTTTGCAACAACTGGAATTCCTCCTCTTACTTTTTAGGACTTACAGAAAAGCCACCCTTTCTAGGAGGTGCTTTTGGATGATTCTGAATTGTATTGTTTTCCCCAGGGACTCCTGGCCGGTGAGTCTTTTGGTTCTGCATCATGTGGTTCACGGGCTTCTCTCTCTTACTTGCCCAGCTTCTGCCCTCTGTACACAGGAACCATCTAGGATCTAAAGCTTCTGAGCCCCTACCCTAGCTCTTCCTAGTACTTTCTAGCTCTTCCTAGTCTGGATTGTACTATGAATGTTTAGTACATATTTTCTACTACTACAAATAGAGAAAAGATAATGGTTTGCACCTGAGATAAAGGTTTGAAACCTCAGACCCATCTCAGAATAGTTTATCCCAGGTGAGCTCAGGAAGTCACATAATCTGTCTCTACTTTTCTCCTTTGCCCTAAGCTTGTAAACAAGTGAGCAAAAGGTTTTGACAGGGCTTGTAGGTGAACCGTAACATATAGTTACAGTCATGTAACTATAAAGAAATTGACAAAATAACATGTGAATGGCAACTCCAGAGCTACCTGAGTTTTGATAATCTTGCTCTATAGCATCAGATAATCAAAATTGAATAAAGCCTTAGAAATCCTTGGTTCTATCCCACATCCTGCCCAATGCAAGAACTCACTCCAAATCCTGCCTGACACACGGCCCACCACGTTAACGGCTGGATTGATTAATGGTGATAAAGCCAGCCATTATTGGATAAATGGTGATAAATCATCATTCATCCAACTAATGATTAATTAGTTTGGTGATAAACTAAATCTTGTCAAATATTTCCATGAGATTACAGAAATTCTTGCCTGTTCCAATATCCCTCCACCCCTTTGTTCCCCAGGAAGCATCATTCCTTTCATTCTAGCATATTATCTTGCATACTTTTAACTTGTGTTGAATTAGGGATGCTGGAAGCTACAGGGTGAATAAGCCTCTCCTTGCAATGGCCTGGGAAATGCATCAGCTTTTCAAATCTGAAGCACTTGAGGTCTGTTTTTACCTAAGGGTTTAAATGATACTGAAGAGAGGGAGAGTAGTGTAGTGGGAGTGACTCTGGAAGCTGTTAGCAAGTATGGACTCTGGGTTTACATCTACCCTAATGGATTCCTTTCAGTGTATCCCTTTCTCTGCCCTTAGAACTACAACAGTAAAACGAGAAGGATGCTTTGGAACTCTCCAGAAGCCCTTCTAGCTCTGACAGGCTGAGTCTGGCCTGGAGCTCAGAAAGGATTAATATTACAGGTCTCAAAATGTAGTCCCCAGAGGAATAGCATCAGCACCACCTGGCAGCTTGTTAAAAATGCAAGCGTCTCCCCTGCCTCCCCTGCCTTCCTGGCCCGCTCTAACAAACAATGAGTCCAGGACCCAGGCTGGGCCCCAGCAATCTGGGTTTTAACCAGGCTTCCAAGAGATTCTGATGTTTGCTCCAGTTTGAGAACAGCCATATTAATGTGATTCTCTAAGGGCCCATTAATACCACCCAACTTACCAGGACTGACTATATTTAGCTTGTTTCCTTTCAGTTTCTTGGGTCAAACAAGTAGCATGAAGAACACAGGACAAGTTGTTTCTATCCCCCACCAAATACATATTGTAAAATGGTTAATATGACTCAGCAGACTCTCCAGTCTTCAACATGAGCAATGAGGTAGGCAGAGCAGACGCGGGTCCTCCCTGAGAGGGGAGGCCAGTTGCCCTGGTCTCACATACTTAGCAGGTATCAGGGGCTCAAACTAGAACTCCAGCTCTGGTTTCTCACACAGCCCTTTCTTATTGTTTGTCTTGGATTTTGATACCACAGTCATTAGCAACGTTCCCCAAGTTCAGGGAATACTCACCACAGGCAAGAGCCAGGAGGTGGGTTTGCCAGGTGAGTGCCATAAACGTTCCTCCAATTGCAATGCAAGCTAGAGAGCTGTTGAAACCCCAGAGTCCAGCATAGATATTCTCAAATGGAGCTGAAAGACTGAGTCCTATTAGGGAAGACAGGAGGGGTCAGAGCTTTGGACTAAAGGCAGGATGTTCTAGAAGGAGCTTGGGGGTGGGAAAGACATCCAAGAACTCCCATTGGTCCCTTGGAAGCAGACCATCAAGAAAGGTCTGGAATGTCAAAGATGCCTGACACAGTAACGGGGCAGAGGCAGTGCTCCGTATCTGGGAGCAAGTCTTACACTTACCTGCTATTATCCCCAGCAAGGACCCGATAGCAGCGTGCAGGCACATGAGTGGGGAGGAGAGGAGGATGGCGCCTAGGAAGATGCCTCCTGTCCACGGGTTATCGCAGCCATATATCTGACCCACACCCACGGGCAGGGACTTCAGCAACTGCGGAAATGATTTAGAAAACACGGCCATAAAAATGACTGGACAGAAACCCATAGGACATCCACAAACACAATGTAATGTCATTTTGGTTTTAGCATATCTTATCTTTCAAGATCAGAGTTACTAACATTTATAATTCTCTCTTGCTCTACAGAAAAATCTCAGTCTCTTTATCCCCAGAGATACACCAGCCCTCCCTGCTGACCCAAAGTCAGATTATCTTATCAACAGCTCAGAAGCAATTATTGACAGGTTCATGAATCAGGACCACATTTACATTTGTGTTGCTAATGAGAATATTCATTAGTTAAATTTTTTATTTTTAAAAATTTATTTATTTCTATTGTATATTAAAAACTAATTAAAATTCTTTTATTTTTTAATCTTTTTTTTTTAGAGAGCATGTATTAGTTGAAACCAAGATAGCTTGTTCCAGTTTTCAACAACTGTTAGTCCTTAGAACACAAAAATATATTTAAATGTTATAATTATAGCTTTCTGGCTGAGTTCTGAACTCAGATAATGTGTTCACAGAATGGGAGTTCTTAGGAAGAAGGCACAAGATTTGATTCAAGCTAACAAATGGTTTAAATTAAAATAGCTATGTAGGGTTAATAGCTTCTGTATTGGGCAGTTTTAGATAGTTCAACTGATGCTATTTTTTCCATGGGTAGTCCTGATAAATTGTTTATTTTCCTTCTGAGTTATTTCCAAATACTGCCATTCATTTTCTGTACAAAAAGCTAAAGAAAAGGCTATTTGAACTCTTCATGCTTTGACTGCCCAGCAAAGAGGACAGCAAAGGGGGTTCAATAACCTGATAGCAGGAAAGACAGTCTCTTGACACTAAAAAATGTAAGGTTGGTCTGCTTCTGATTTCAAGTGTTGTCTTTATTTTTTAATACTTGAGAAAACTTAGACAAATTTATTAAATAAACACCAGCACAAAGAGCTGGAATTTGATTTGGGTCAACCAGGCTTTTAAAAATAGTGCTATCCTTATACATATTTATAGGGAGATAAACAGCATACATCCTACGAGAGTGGTTCTCAAACTCTCGCCCACATCACTATTTGGGGAACTTGTTAAAACAGATTCCTAGATTCCACCCCAATGATTATGATTTAGGGAGTCTGAGATGGAACTTGGATTAATATTTAAAAAACAATGATTCTGATGCCCCTAAAGCTGAAGAAATGTGAATTATCGTACATATTCTAGGAGATCCACCATAAGAAAAAGCAAAATAGAAAGGTTCTGCGACAGGATCTAACAGTGAGCAACCAGTTCTTTTGATTGGGGAAGGTAGGTCAGGGAGGACAGAACCCCAGGCTTCAGGCCCCTGCCTCAAGGGCTGGCCCCCACTGGACACCCCCCTCCCCCGAAATAAGGGCAAAGTTTGGAACAAATTGGCTGGATTCCAGTGGAGCTATACTCTGGAGTTAGCACTGCAGGTGTTAGGAAAAGAGGAGGAAAATTTAGTTTTGACCATGTAGTCCTTTAAAAAAAATCCCTTAGAACCCAAAGATTTGGAGTAGAACAAATAAGCTTTTAGATGGCAAGAAAAAGTGGCAAGGCTACTCCAGAGCTGACCCTTTGTCAGGTCTGATGTCCACCAACAGTTAACCAGGAGGTGTCTTCCAGAGCCCAGGGGAGGTGGGAATGGGATATAAGAAGATAGTGTATCTTACCTGCAGAGCACTGAGGTCAGGCCAGGTGACATTGGGAACTGAGGTGACAGGTGTGATCAAGGTGCTTGGGAAAAATGGATTGTAATGTCCTGTGGCAGAAAGGTACATTGACAATGCCATATTGAAGGGCAGAGTGAAGACAGGGAGGTCCCATTTGCTGAACACGGAGCTCAATGCACTTGAGAAAACTGGACTAAAAACAAAAGAATAGAATGGAAGAATAGGCATGTGATAAGCCATACCAACAAATTGAATATCTATACTATAGAGAGGCTTTTTTCATTAGCAAATAAGTCCCTAAAGTGTTGTGTTGGCAAACTTTTGACAGGGGAAAAAAAAAAAACAAAACCCAAACCCAAACACACCTGTATAAATCCTATCATAGAATAATTCTTACATAAAGTAAAAAGTCAACTCTCAGCTTATTTGGCTTGTGGAAAATTGTGCTCTGGGGTTGCTCACAATGAGTTATAAATTTAGATTTAAAATATTTAGATTTAAAAATTTAGATTTAAAAATATTTTTGAAGCATTTAAGACATATGAAAAGAGTATTGTCTAAAGAGTTAAAGCCCCTTGTGTAAACTACTTGACCACGTGCCCTTCCCTCCCCACCAGAGGCAACCTCAATCTTGAACTTACTCCTGAAGGAAAAAGAGTGTAAACTCAGGAGGGCAGAGTTTTAAGTCCTTGAGAAGTTGAACTGTGTGACCTTGGGCAAGGAGGTAGCCTCAGCTTCCTTGCCTGTAAACTGGGATATTGGGTTAGATGGCCTCTGGGCCCTTTCTCTTCCCTCACTTGTGAATCCAGTCAAGGAGCCATCACTTTGAAGTTAGAACCCCAGGTTTCCTGAACTCGGGGGAGGGGGTGTGGGTGACCCTGTGCAGTGACACCTCCGGCCCTTGAGCCTGGTCTTCAGAACGGGTGGGAAGCTTCTCCTGGGGGGTTGGCTGTGCCAGTGGGTTCTCCTCCACACACCTGTGGCTGCAGCCGGGGGGAGCACTCTCCATGGTTGGCTGCGTCTATGTAGCCAGACGTCTCATGTGTGTGGATGCTAGCATTTTATATTTGGACTATATCGTAGTAAGAAGGAAGTGCTTGCTTAAAAAAATGCTTTAAGACAGTGTCAATATAGAAACTAGTTTGAAGGGTTTAGGGTTAAAAAAGGAATAGAATTTAGTAAAGAATTGTTTTGAGGGGCAGGTGGGTAAGGGGGGTTACATAGGGACAGTGGTTCTGAGTGTGGTCCCTGGATCAGCCACGTCAGCACCACCTGGGAACTTGCTGAGATGCAGATTCTCAGGCCCCATCCCAGACGGACTGAATCAGGAAGCCTCAGGGAGGCAGCAGCAGTTTTAACCGGCCCTGCAGGCAGCCTTGATGGTGTGCTTGTTCGAGGACTCCTGATGCTGGGCAGTGGTTCTCAACTTTGGTTGTACTTTAGAATCCCCCGGGAGCCTTCAAAACTCCCAGTGTCCTAGAAGCTCCCCAAACCAATTACATCAGAATGGTGCTGTCGGAGGAGGGCCATGAGGTGTGAGGGGAAGCCACATGCATCAGTATGTTTGAACGCTTCCTGTTTGCAATAGATATATCCTGAATCTAAATAAAAAAGATAATTTTCTAGAAATTGCCTTATATATAACATAAAATTTGCCACTTAAACCATTTTAAAGCATTCAGTTTAGTGGTAAGAAGTATGTTCACACTGTTATACAACCATCACCACCATCCATTCACGGAATATTTCTCATCTTACAAAACAGAAACCCTGTACTCACTAAATAATAATTCCCCCCATTCCCTCCTGCCCCTTACACATTTTTTTCCAAAAAGGCATTTTGAAAACCAGGTACAACTTACCAAGTCATGGACATAGCAGATACAGGGAATAACAGCCACCAGAAATAGTTTCCCTTGTCTGAATAGATAGTCATGAGGATCCCCACCAGGGTAGCGTTGTAGCCCTGGAGCCCTGCTGAAATGGCAGACCTGTGGGCAAGAGGCACAGCTTAGACACCTCCTGGGTGGATGTTGGCCGAATGTGCCCATAAATACCACTTGTAACTTCCAGGTAATATTTACATTTGAAAAAGAGATTATATTTAGGGTTTTATTGCAAAGTCTCTAGAAACCAAATACTAATAAAAGCATGAAACAGTAAAATATACATGGATAAAATACAAATGTGCATATAGAACAACCCCTACAGAGGCATCATAGCTAAGGAGTAGAGAAAAGGAAATCAGCAGGCCAACATAGTCTGTTTCCTTTTAGCCTTTCCTTCCCAAAGTTATTATTTCTTTTGAATCATTAGGGTCTTTGACTTGAATAGAGCTTTTATTCAAAACTCTTCCCTAAGTCTGATTTTCTTGCTGAGAGGTATAAGATTCTTGAAATGTAAATTCAGTTCCACAGTGTCTTTGATTTTATCAACACAAGTCTTCTAACTTAGAATATATTTTCATCTTCTTGTTCTTCCATTTTGTTGTTTCCAGATATACATTTCCAAATTATTAAAAAAAAAATCCCTTTTACTTGGCAAACTATTCCATTTAACTATATGCATCTTTAGCATCTAATTTTTTCTTGGGTCCCTTTCTTCCCAGCATTTAACATCACTTCCAAATGTTGTCCTATGGGTTAAGTTTCTACTCCTGGTCAAAATGGTACCTTTTCATAACTGGGGACTAAAATTTATCTCTCTGGAAGCTGAACTAACCTTTTCACTGTCTAGGAAGAATGAATTTACTAAACTAAGCATGGAACTAAGATATAATGGGCTTAGTGGAATTATTAAGCCACTAAAACTTTTCCTGAATTCATATGCATTTTTTTGCCCAAATAAATAAAATGCTGATAATAAATAATTGATCAATCATTAAAGTAGACTCCCTTTGGACTGTAGGGTCTTATAGCTTAGTTATTATTTATAAAAATTACTTATAGCTTAGTTCTGGTAGCATGTATTGCCCAAAAGGATCTGGCTGCTTATTCGGGTACTGTGAATAAGAGGCTATAAATGATTTCCTGACTGCTGACTAAAGGCAAATATAAAGCATTCTGTGGAATAAAGGTTGATTCTCCAGGCGAGGGTGGGGCTTTATCACTACTGCCCAGAGTCACCGGTTGGCTCCTGTGTTCTCTGAAGCAAGAAGCAGAGGCTTGGAGGGACATGCTTACCTGTCCTGACTAAGTAACAGGGCTGTCAGGGTGGAGATCACTGTTCCCACACAGCCATTGAGGGCACACCAGGGATTCTGGACCAGGAGTCCCACCAGAATCAGGATTCCACTGATGGGGTTGCTGACAAACACAACTTGGGATATCCCCCGAAGAACCCAGTCGACGAACTGGAGAGCCTGGGGTTTATCTGGAAGAGATGAGATGAGCAGAGCTAAGGAAATGGTGGGGCAAATGGGGCTCCTTCCTGAGTCTCCTTCCCAAGCCTATCTTGAGCAAAATCCCCTCTGAACAAGGTGAGGCTAACTTTGGATATCCCTTGAAACTTTTTCTCTGAACTCTTTCCCCTTTAGTGACCCCCAGATCCCTGAAAGCATCCAGATTTGCTTTAGTGACCCCCAGATCCTCTTTCTGCTCAGTCCACAATGTCCATACTAGAACCCCAGTTCCAGAAAGCACTGAATGGACTTATTTAGTGTGCTTAGATGTTTAGACCCTTAAGCCAAAGGAATGAATTACCAAGAGTAAAATTTCAGTTTTTAAGTAAAAAAATTACAAGGTGGAACTAGGTGCCATCCTCTGACATGAACAGGATCACTGTCTCCATTAAAAAGAAAAAAAAAATGGAAGAAGTTCTCAGGTTAGAAGATAAAAAGTTTAAAAAAATGGAGAGAAAAGTGATAGAAGATAGGGGAATATAACTAAAGATTTGAATAGAAGAACCAGCAAACCATTTCCCCCAATGCCACTTCTCCAAGGTGGCGTAAATACCTTTAAGCCAGTTGGCAAATTCTTTCATGTCACCAGTGATATAGCCAAGTGCCTTGGGGAAGCGTCTTCTGCCTCGACTTTGTGGAGCCTGATTTCCAACCTGGTCCAATTTAACTGCAGTGGGGTTGTCATCCATGGATGTCTCTTCTGGCTCCTTGAGGAAAGGATGGAGCTCATGAACATCTTAATGTAGAATGCTTTGGACTGGCCAGTGAGGGACCTGACCACAGTAGCCACACAGGATGAGTTTGAAGGCACTTCATCTAGACCATGACAATCCCACGAAACTAAGAAAGCACCATTTTCCTCTTGAAATATTGTCAGGGAGATTATTATCAAAACCCAAGCCCCATACTACTTTTGTCATCACTGTTTTTAATGTCACCATGAGAAGGTTCTGGTCTTTAATTTCATAAGGTTCAGTTTCTAGCTCAACGAATATTTATTGAGTACCTATATCCTACACTCAAAGAGCTCAGTCTAGTGGGAAAGAATGAAAAATAGTTAATTTCAACATAATGAGTCAGAAAATGATACAAAAATAGCTACAATCAAGTACTTAAGCTTTTTGCTCCAATGAAAGGAGCCAGATGTCAGGTTACAAAATGATGCTCGCTAATGCAGACCAACCAGCTACTTTCTAAGACAAGTAGCCATTTTAGATGCAACTTTTATTTTACAAAAACAGGCTTTGTTTTAAAAGTTTGAAAGAGAAGAAATGTTTGTGTGTGTGTTGACATAGCCTAAGAACTGCACCCTGCCCTGACACCACAGTATTCACTCTCCAACTCAGAGACTAAGTCCTCACATCAGGCAGCTGCCTCGTATATTCTCTATTTTTGAAATTTGTTATTTAAGTGTTTAAATACCACTGAAGTATTTATTTAAGTGTTTAAGCAAAATCATTAAATAAATGAAATACGCAAATCAACATAAATATGGGACTATATATTTATATACATAATATATACATGATACATTTAGTATGTTCACTAAAATATTGAGAATTTGGGCTATATCATTTAAAAATATAATTTACTAAATCTAAACTAGAAAAAAAGACTGGCAAAATAATCTTCCACAAAGATGTAGAAAATGGGAAAAGTGGAAGTGGGCTAGCTGCTGAAAACCAAAGAATTACATGTTAAGAACAGCACACTGTAGGAGTGTACAGGGCATACTCATGGTAAGCACGCCTCAGGGTACTAACAGCATGACTGTGACTTGTGCTCCACAAGACTCTTCACTTCTCATGTTGCGTGTGCAATAATAAAGAATCAGCATCATCAGAATGTTATACCCTGTAGACAAAAAAGGTTTCATGGTGCTGATGGTAGTATAAAAGAGTACCAACGGCGTCATCCCAGAGGTAGGCGAAAGGAGAGAGACCATGGCAAAACCACTTTGAGTTTGCAAGAAAAGCAAAGAGCCCAGCCAGGCCAGTGACAGGAGGGGAACACCCAAACCATCAGACCCCAGGAGGCACAAGTGTGGAATGTTGAAGCCACAGGCACGTAAGACATGACCAGGGAAATACCCAAAACCAATGCAGTTAAACCAACTTGTCTTCTCCCTGCAACCAGGCTGTGAACAAGGGTTTCTCATGCCTATTTTGGGTTCCACTGGTTCTTCTGTTTACCATACCCAACGAAAAGCTATTAAAGCCCAATTAACAGACAATAAAATCCATGACTTTTAAAGTTTTTATTTTTTGCAATTCTGATTTCAGTTTTGGCTTCTATTAATCCCAGTACAAAAGTCAGTGTAACTCATTTTTTATTGAGTCACAGTTATACTTCAATTGTATTATTTCACTGCCAAATAACCATTCTGCTTTTAAACGATGGTCAGCAATTCCATAAAGTAGAAGCTGTTTATGCAATGCATTCTAGACCAAGGTCATTTTGGCTTGGCGAAATAGTGATACAAACCTGCATTTGTGAGACTTCTAATGAACATTTGCATTAAGAGATTCTTAAAATGAAAACTGCTGGAGGTCAGGAACCAAAACTACATCTATGTGGAGCTCAGCTGGCCCGAAGTTAAACAGTGAAAACCTTTTGAATTATTAAGAAATTATAAAAAATTTGGGTTTTATTTCATAATCTAACTGATAGCTAGCATTGATTTTCATTTATCTCTCTTTAAATATCGTAACTGAAGATAAGGCTTGGTAAGCCCTTTCCTTAGCTATCATGACCCCATTCTCAAAGCCACATATCCTATGAGAGGCATCAGGCTCCGGTCCAGGCAATGACAAGAAACTGCCTTGAGTTTCTGTAACTGGGTAGATGCAGCTCTACAGAGGCAGCCCTGAACGAAAACATTAAAGTGGGCATTTTCCATCAAGTATGGAAGCAATTAGGTACATGGGTTATCCCAGGGTGGACAAATTCATGTTCTCAAAATTCCCAGCATTTATTTATTTATTTTAGAGGGTTTTCAATACATCATCATTTCAGAGATTTTGGAGCTACAGATATGAAACCTGATATTCTAACTGGCCAGGCACGACTGAGAACCGGACTGGCCAGAGTTCCCTGCCCAGCCACCTGAAGTTGGATAAAGATTGAACCATTGATCTGAATCTTCAGCCCAGCATGCAGAAGACTTGCTATGCTTTATCTTTCTAGCATCCATATATTGGGGTGGGTGGTAGGGCTACCATGAAATAGAGGGACAGACCTTCTCATGAGTTGATTCCCCTGGGAATCATTTATTCTGGACTGAACACTATAGAGCTCTGGGAAGCCTGATTACTTGTTCCAGAACTCAGGCATGAGAACTGGTCATGAGAAACCAGTAAGTTAACAGTTGTGGTTCACCCTAGGATTTAATCATGCTACACTCTTTGTATTTCTTTAGGGAACTTTATAAGTCTACATATCCTAATTGGGTAGGCAATACAAAATGATGAAGCAGGAACTAAGTTCAAACTTCTTGAATCTAAGTAGGTCATTAAATTTCAATTGAAAAGATATGACAAGAAAATGTAAGGAACGCACTCTATAAAATAGAAGCAAGATAAATAAAAATCCCCCAAATACTTTTTCCTAGCTTTTCCATGGTTGTCAAAAATCTGCAGCACAAAGGTCCAACATCTAAATCAAGACGAGTGTCTTGTGAGTTTCTGGACCAAGACCCCTATGCATCAGGCTCAGCCCAAGCTGCACCGCTCAGCAGAACATGAGGACCCCACTTCCCAGGCTTGGTTCAGAAAAGACACAGCAGAGTCACAGAGACAGAAGCTGTACAAAGGTAGCATACCTGTTCTGCCGGCCCCTGGACCAGGGCCAAGGTTAGCCAGGGGGAGCCTCTGTATGCTGCCTCACCAGTTTTTTTTCCAAAAGGGCCCCTCCAAAGAGGACCAGGATAGGCATCATCAGCAGCGCCAATCAAAGACCGTCCATTCATCCTTCCTTTCTTTCCATACACGACAAAGGGCAAAAATACGTGAATCAGCAGAAATCGTGCCCTGCCTGTGATGTAAAATGCAGGGTTGAGCTCTCCTCGGGGGTTCCTGGGGAGAGGAGACCTCAACAAAGAAGGCAGACTTCTCCATCAGCTAGGGCTCCATCAGCAGAGACCATGAGCTGACTGCAGACACCGAATGTTCATTTTACTTTGCTTAAAACAGAAGAAAAAACTGGCAAACCATCCTGCACAGCGACCCGTGTATGGGTCTTGTGCCGCTGTGTTTCTCCACCGGCAGGAAGCCGACAGGTCTGAAGCCTGTTCCAGAGGGAGTGCTGGGCTTCAGGCTCTGAAACACTTCAGGGGAACTGTTAGGGCTCCATTTCAGGGGATGGAGCCACAATTTCCTTCAAACTTAATTGTTACAAATGTGAGAAGGGGAAGACCTGGTCCAGGTTCTATTTTCTGTAAAAAGATGCTAGCCACACTTGCATAGCAAAAGCCCAGTCTAAGAGATTGCTAAATGGCATTATTTTCCTTCTATCTGAATAAGAATTGTTAGAAATCAGACATCAGCTTGTTAATAATAAACAATTCATAGTTATATTCAACAGGTGTGGCAACTTTTTGTTTCCCTTAAAAAAAAATAGAAAAAAAACTTCCATTACGCCCAAGGATAGCATTCTTCCTTTAGAAGTTCCAGAAAAGTCATAGGTTTGGTATTTATTTTTTTCTTCCTCTTTAACTACTTTCTTCCACTGTCTTGGTTTGAAATCTGAAAACTTAACACTCTGCTAGAGTGTTTCAGAAAAATCCATAATTGTGGACAACTTTACTGACATGTCTTTGGAAAAGGTTGTGTGTGTGTGTGTATGTTTATCCATGGTTAAACAATCTGGCTAACCCCAAACAGGTGGGTTGCATTATGCATATTTTTGCTTGACAAAGAGCAACATTAAGAAACCCAATAATAGGGCTCTCATATTTAGTTTAAAAGACAAAAAGAAAGAATGAAAGAAAGAGAGAAGAGACAGGCAGGACTGTCACATTCCCCAGTCATGTTTCCCCATCACCAATATCAAACATGTCTCGGAGAATGACATCCTTGAGCTCAACATTGATATTTTCTAAGAGCCAAGAGAGAGAAGGAGTTGGGAGAGCATATAGTTCAAGCCTTCATTTCATAGAGGAGAAAACTGGAGTCCAAAGTTTGGACCGTCCACATTCACTCCGCAGATCAGCCTTATGGAAGAGGTAAGCCGTGGTGGCCCTTTGTCTTCCAGGCTGGAACCATACACTCTGAAGTCCCCAAGGGGGCGTTAGTGGACACAGCCTGTCTTCATGGCCTCCCTGAGGTAACCCTGGGGAGGGGGTTGCTGAACAACAGCAAAGGTTATTTCACCCCATGTCCTTGCCAGAAGCAGTGACTCTTCTGACAAACAAACATCTCACCATGCCCCAAAGTAAGCCTCACTCCCTTGTATCACGGACATATCCACAACAAGGCCTGTGTGTGTTGAAGTTAACATCCTGAGAATATTCTAGAAGCTACACCCAGTGAGCTTACAATAGAAGTCAGAAAGCACTTTTCGTAGCCCAGATCACTTAGTGCCACAAAGCAGGACTCATCATTCTGAAATATCAAGATTTCAGTTCAGCAATGTTTCTTACAGGAAACACAACTCATTCTATTGTCAGCATGTATTAGAAATTTGTATAAGGAGAGAGCTCGGAGAGTCTATGCCTCAAGTATCACTTTTAAAAATAATACAAAGTTTAGGACATAGATATGGAAGAAAGCATATAAACATTCATGCTCTACCATAATTACGAGACTTCAGCATTGACATTTGTGTGATACTTACAGAACTCGTTATGTTAGGTAGTTTTTGAATCTAAGTGTGGGGAGTGCTCAGCCTTCTCTAAAACTGTAATGAGAAACAAAGAAAATGCTGTCAGGTGTCCTGTCTCCTGATTAAAACACTCTCTGCTCGGAACACCCTCCCTTTGAAGCCTTGAGGTCTGAATTCCAGGACAGAAAGTATAGCTGAAAAGAAGTTGCCAAATTTTTGCTTGCAGTGTGACTTGTTCTCCCAAAGGGTGTTCCAGTGTCCTCCGTCCAGCATGACGGTACAGGCAGGATGATCTGGAAAACCATACTTGGAAAGGGCCATTCCCAATACCCACTTTTTTTTTTTTGAGTCGTATTGATAGATCTCTAATTTTACTTATTTCAAGGACACAGCCTCAAGCTCCTATGCAGCATCTGTGAGCTCAGAGTCCTTTAGCACCTCAAGTGGACTCCTGGCTGAAACCCTCTTGCGCTCAGAGCTCTGGGGCCGATCCTCCCTGCTGCAGAAATCATGAACCAAGACACTGCTCTCAAGCATCCAGGAAGAAGCCTGTGAGTTGGGTAAATGGCTTGCTAGTCTACCAGAACTCTAATTTTGTGCTTTTACTCAGTTCCAATCATCTGAAACATATATCTCCATTAAAAAGAGAAAAATAAGAGAGGTCTAAGGAGACACCCCTCCCATCATGAACAGCTGCAAATGAACAGACACAGGGGAGTACTCACATAGCAGCTGGCTTCCCGGCAGAAGGCACTGGCTGATAAAGCCCTGCTGGGCTCTATTAAAAGGGAGGTGCTTTGGGGGAGGGTGCTGGGGGAGGGACCCAGTGCTTTTATACTCAGGACCCACTCTGCATATCTGTGCATCTGGCTGTCTCCTCCCACTTCAGGCCCAGGGCCAAAGCACTGCCGAGGAGCGCGCCCCCTGCCCTGGACCGTCTGTCTGTCTGTCTCTGTTCTTGACTTGGTGCCAGCAACTTTGCCATCGTTTCTGGGACTTCCCAGGTCTTTGTCCAGCAACAATCCTGCTCGAGCTTGTGGTTGTCTTCCCCTTGCAGTTTCCTCTGGAGCCTACCCTCACCTTGGGATGTTCTGGGGAAGACGTGTAACTGACAAGGATCAACAGAGTGTCACTTGAACTGAAAACCTACGGACAGGTTGCTGCGCTGCAGACTTGGGAGTTAAGTGGTAGCTCCTGGGTGGAATGTTCCCTTAGACTTGACGTGGTTTCTGCACAGGTGTCGGAAACCAGAAAAGTCCCGTGGAGTGTGGGCTGAGTGTGGGGAGAACTAGGGTCCACAATCATTTTCTGGAAAACAACCTACCCTTTTCCCCAGTGAGGAGGGAAATAAAAATATAAATGTTGGCCTGGAATGCCCCTCTTTCCAGGTGAGAATCCCAGGACAAACTCTGCTGCCTTTAAAAGTCAGGAGGCAAACATTCTATAGCAGAGGTATCTAAAATTCAAGTGAAAAATCCCTTTCTTCTTCATTTTTTCCCTTAAATTTCAATTTTGTGGCCTTTTTTGAGATCACGAACAGAAGTGACATGAACTGTGGTGTGCTTCTAGGAGCACACAATTTTGAAAAATGAAAACCCCACAGAAAGCTGTGCAGGTGTCAGTGGGGCCTCCTGCCTGCCTGGATGAGCTGATAGCCCTTGTCAGGGAGGCTGACAGTAACTCTCTGGCTCCACCCGCTGGACACCAGCCAAACCACAGTGCTCCTTGCTCTCCGGGGGATTTCCCCCCCGCCCCCCCTGTTTCCCTGGCGGTTCAATGTGTGTATCCGGGGGCTGGAGGAAAACTACAAGCCCAGGTTCATGGCCAGAGTTTTGAGGTTCAGGCAAATGTGCCACCAACGTTTGCTTCCTGGTAAAAATTCCTCGGGTTACGCTGAAGGGAAAAATGAATCATAAGAGAGCCTGGTACAGGAGCGAAAGGAATCACACTAGTGTATCTGTGAGCTCTTTATGCAAATGGGCTACAATCCCTGATGGTGGTAATAACAGTAATAGTGATAGTAATGATAATTATTGGAATTGGACAAATGGCTGGGCATTCACTTTGTGTGCTGGGCACTGTGCTGAGCCCTAGATCTGTGTTAGTCATTTAACCATCACAAAAGTCCTATGAGGTTAATGCCATTATCCCCATTTTGCAGAGAAGCAAACAGAATCTGCCTGCAATGCAGGAGACCTGGGTTCCAACCCTGGGTTGGGAAGGTATCCTGGAGAAGGGAATGGCTTAACCACTCCAGTATTCTTGCCTGGAGAATTCCACGGACAGAGGAGCCTGGTGGGCCACAGTCTATGGCATCACAAAGGGTCGGATGTGACTGAGTGGCTAACACACACAGGCTCACAGAATTTAAATCACTTGTCCTGAGTTTAACATCAAGGTTCGTGGGATGGGGAGAGAGGCGGGAGGGGGGTTCAGGATGGGGAACACATGTAAATCCATGGCTGATTCATGTCAGTGTACGGCAAAAACCACTATAATATTGTAAAGTAATTAGCCTCCAAATAATAAAAATAAATGAAAAAAATAAAATAAAACTGACTGACTTAAAAAAAAATCAAGGTTCTTACTTTGATGTACTTTAGCATCATCCAGCATTTCCAGCTTCTGCCCATTGTTTGCTTTTCTTCAGTTCACTAATTAACTCAATGAACTCAAGCATCAACATGTATCTCTGGACCTCAGCCTGAAGCCACCTCCACTAGGCACTTAGGCCGCCTGCTGCCTCAGTGGCCTGAGTGGGCTGGTCAGGGGTGGAGGGTGTTTACTGAGTCTGAAGTCTTCTTGTGGAACCAACTCCTCCCCACCCTTCCTCCCTGCCCTCTCCCCTGGTCCTTGCAAAGGCACACCTTAAATGCTGGTTACAAAACTAGCTGTGCTGCATGGTCTGACTGGGTAGAACAAAGCATGTGGGATTCCCAGCCAGGCAGACCTGAGTTTGAATCCTGGCTTCGTCCCCGTGTGCCCTGAGGTACATCACCATCTCTGGCCCTCAGATTTCTCTCTGTAAAATTGAGTAAGTTGACTCCTTTGTAGCGTTGTGATGAAGTTTTGCAACCGCGTATGTAAATCTCTGTACCTGACACGTGGAAATGGCACCTTTCCAGGATCTGCCCTTCTCAGTCTGGGTTGGTTTATCCTTGAGGATTCCTGAAAGGGTCCCTGTTCCCACCTGAACCAGGAGAAAAGGCTTCTTAATTCTGACATACGAAGGGGTGTAGTTATGAGCGCGCAGACAACTGTTCAGCAAGAACCATGAGGTGGGCAGGCGGCAGCCATGTTCTCTCACTGCAAGACCCCTGAGATGCCAGGGTCTTGCCGGGTGGCTGTGGCTTTGGAAAGAATCCTGAACCGGATGTTAGAGGGATAACCGGGCACCCAACAACAAGTGCAAACAACGGTTCCTCGGTGCTTCTGCAGGTGTGCTCACTTGCTCCGTCGTGTCTGAGTCTTTGTGACTCCATGGACTGTAGCCCGCCAGGCTCCTCTGTCCATGGAATACTCCAGGCAAGAATACTGGAGTGGGTTGCCATTTCCTTCTCTAGAAGCTCTTCACGACCCAGGGATTGAACCCACGTCTCCTGCGATGGTAGGTGGATTCTTTACCACTGAGCCGCCTGGGAGGCCCCAGGTACCTTCACACAGCCCTGATTTAACAATTTCATGACTTCTTCTCAGCCCCTCCTGGTATCATTTATTGAGTGTTTGGGCACCGACGTTGCTTCCCTTCCCAAGTCCCACCTAGGCCTCTCCTGGTTCTGTAACTCTCTGTCTGCCTCAATCACAATCGAACACAAGAAGAGGTTTCCCTCCTCTTTGACTTTCTCCATTGAGTTTTTGCCCCTAGAAGGTTCTCTCTCTCCCCGCCCACTTGGCTCAAGTGTCCACGCCCAGTTTTCTTCCCTCCGCCCATCCACACTGCGCTCCTGGGAGCTGAAAACCAGTCCACGTTTCTCTCACAGTGGTCACCCCCTCCCCCAGCCCTGTGACAGCTCTGCTATTGTCTTTTATTTTAAAAATATATTCTATGGTGGGCAGCCCCACCTGGGCTGGAGAATACTAGTAATTCTTTTTTTATTGATATCAGATCTCTTTCTCTCCAGAAAGGGTTTTGAGGAAGTTCATAAAAATAGACATGAGAGGAAATAAGAGCTAGATGATGAAACGGGGAAGAAGGAAGAACAAAACTATGAATAATGACACAATTTGGATATTTTCCTACCATGTCTTGCATTTCTAGGTATTTTAAAATAAGTATTTTTTGACTTAGAAATGATCCCAGCACGAAGTCATTTTGGTTGCTGCTGGATGTTGATTTATCTACAAGCAATTCGACATTACAAATAATTTGCACCACCGGTATCACGGGGCAGGGTCTACACAGGAATTCTGCAGGAGAGGAACTGGCAGAGGGCTCTTCTGAATCCTGAGCAGGGCCTTTCTAGATGAGAGAGAGAGTGCTAAAGAAAAAGCAGACAGACTTCTCTTCCTATCCTCCCGACCAACATCGCCACCCCCGCCCCCTGCCCCGCCTCCCCGCACAGAGAAGCAAAGACCCCAGACTGTGTACAGAAAGTCCTTCTGCACTGTGTTCTGGGACCACAGTGTTTGGTTTGGTAAACAGTCAGACAAACAGGCTCCAGACAAGAGCCAGACCCCCCACTGACCCAGAACGCCATTCAAGGGGACCCTTTGTGGTAAGAACTCCCGAGACGTGGAGCCAAGTGGGCGTAAAGTGCACAATTTCTACCGCCTGCACTGCCTGTCCTGGCCAGGGGAGCCTGGGGTTGGGTGATGGCAGGAGGCACCGAGGCGCCTCTTAACAGCTCTTAAACAATGCTGTTGCGCAATTACTCAGCTCCACCGAGTATCTGGTTGTTTGTCCTGCATGCAGCAGAAGCATGAGAAAGCCTCATGGGGACCTACCTATGACTTTTATCAATCCCGTCTGTCCATGCATCACTTTCTTC